TAAGTTTATGCGTATAGGAAAAATAACATTCAACAACCTCTCATAATTTCGGGTATTTGACCATAAAACAAGCATACTGTGATTGAGTTCATCATCTCGTTATTTGGCTATGTACTTCGTTTCTAGTAAGTAGACTGAAAATGGAACTTGTTACCTATTGCTAACGATACGTAACTCATCTGTCAGGAACGGATTCATGTATTTGGCTTTGGTCTACACTCTTAGTGTGATGACTATTGATGCTACTTTGTTGTTCAAACTGAATCAAGTGAAACGGTATTCGAACCTGCCACCTAATGCCTGAAAGTCGAACGTCTTAAATACTGCAACGCCGCTTTAGTACTGTTTGAATGGTAATAAGTTTCATCATCAAGATTTTCTGTTTAATTTTTCGTTGAATACTTACATTTAATCATGTTTTGTGTGGTTGGTTGTTTGAATTGCTGTAAGCAATCCGATTGTGTGATGAGCATTAAAAAAGACCGAACCACTCACTCAGAAGCCCGAATGAACAAGTATCAAAATATATAAAGAATTTTTAGTCAGCGAAATTAGTTTATGCAACAGAATGACATGCGTACAAAACACTCGATGTATATGAAGATTTACGCAGTTGAATTCATGAGTCGATCTAAGCTAAACCACCATTGGAAACCTGGAAGCATTGGACGGCCGATTTGTCCTAGTATGGGACTCCTTTGCAGTACACGTCCATGACCTCGCACTCGGGGCTCGAGCTCAGGACCTCTAACCTCGTACGCGAACGCTTAGCTCCTGAATCACTGAGCTGGCATGAAGGGTTGCGCAAAATGATAGATCGATTGAAGTTAGACAATAACACCGTTGGATGCCAGCTCAGTGGTCTAGAGATTAAGCGTTTGCGCGCGAGACTGGAGGCCGTGTGTTTGAGTCCTGAGTGCGGGATCGCGGGTGCGTGCTGCTGAGGAGTCCCATACCAGGACGAAACAACCGTCCGGTGCTTCCATGTTTTCACTGGTGGTCTAACTCAGATGGACTCGTGAATTTAACTATTAAGATACTACAATCTCCACAAATTCTCATACTGTTACATGAATTATGTTAAGGTAGCTGTTACCAGTGACATTAGATCTTTGTGCTATGCCACAAGTCGGTTGATGTTGGAACTGTACAATTGGACATTGACTCAGTGGTTCTAATAATTAAGCATTTTCCGAGTGACCTGAAAATCTTGGATCCGACAACTAAACGGGTCGGTAACAAACACTCTTGAGAAGACACACACTAGAACGTAACAGTAGTTCACTGTTTCCTGCTTTTCAAAGGTACTGGCTTATCTTTCACCTGTCATATCAAGAAGCCAGCCAACGATAAGTGACATCGCTCTCTATGTAAACAAACTAGATGAAATGAGAGGAAATTCTACTATCATATTTAATACTGCCCAATAAACAAAGGACAAACAGGTTTTTTTTCGTAATTCAGTACTTATTAGTGGGACACTCTCAACTCTTCATAAAAACAAACTCCAGACTTTCAAGTAAGTCACCATGTTCAACAACCTTGCAACTGCTGATTCAATATCCAGCAGTTAACACTGTACACTGCACTGGGTTTGTGACATTGTCCAATGTCTTTAGTATGTTATCGTCCCTCACTTTCTGACATGGTCAATTCCACATGTCATAGTATTACAGGGGAACAGTGAAATTTGTCGGGAGGCTAGCTCACTGTTGATTAGTACATAATTATTATTTAGTTAGTGGTTTGTTGAGACTGACTGACGATAGATGAAATGACATTAAGAATTAGAGGGAATCATTCAATTTATCATTTCTCAATAATAATCCTCTTCCATCATTATATGGCTCAACTCCTACCTTAAAGCATCATACATCACTTTTTAGTAAAAAGAATAATTTACAATTTCCTTATTGTATAGTGAAGTTTATCTAATTGTTTCTCCAAAGTGTATTATAATATGCTTTACCAAATGAGATATTGTGACATAGTAAAACAAATCAATATTATTTTCTATTCCCTTACCGTTGATTACTCACTATGGATAATAAAATTACTTATGTTTAAACTTGAAAATAAAGTCACTGCTTTTTAGAGAAGAAAACTAGCCAGTTCAGCCTTAGTTCACTAATTGCAATTATGTTCTTAACTTTAACCCTGAGGTCGAGGTCAAGTCTCGCGTATTGGTTTTTGTGTTGCTGTATTGTATTGTTGTACTATCCAGGTCAATTTGGTGATTCTTTTTTTTCTTTCTGCCAATGCTGAATACAATACACATAAACATATTCACACATAGATTCAATAAGATAGATTTGAGGACAAATATTTTGTTTTTTTTTATAAAAGATTTTACAACAAAACAATGGAGGATAAAATCAATTAGTAAATTGTTCATTTATGACTAAAGATGTGCATTTCTGTTCTTGAATGTTTTATCAATGCTCATACACACACCTACAACATCCACTTTAAAAAATCGCGTTACTTTGAACGTTACCATCTGGTTGATCCATAAACTATTAAATAGTTAATATCTTTTTCTCGAAACTTCATTCATTTTGATATAAGGATCGTTCACATATGTATACTTTGGTATTAGAGACGTCAGTACTCATGGATCCTACAAAATACGACGAATCACCATGTGAGATTATCATAGATACGCCAATGCCACTGCGGAAGCCCTCAGTATTCAGAGCTACTTAAGATTATATGATATAGAAGCTGAGAATGATTTCCTATTCGAAAGAAAATACCCTCAACTAAATATTTAGATCACATTTATTGTTTCTTAATGATGAACATGGACGACGAGCGACTGCCAGTGGATTAATGTTTAACAACCTAGCATCTCGTTGCTAAGACATTGAATGAGTCTTCTATACCTACTGATACTTAGCAATATACGATCCAACTTCTGTCTGACCATCGAAGATCTCACTGAGCATTCTCGTACTTTACGGCACCTAGCTACCCAAGCACTTCCCCGAATAAACAGTACAGCACGAAAAAAGATAACACTCGTTTTATAGAGGAACTTACCAGGTTCTCTACAATACATTTTCAGTTACAACCAACCAATATAACTTACCTAAAAGAGATTATCTATCCATTTACACCTGCAGATGTGCTAATAATGAGTTGGAAGTCGTCATACTTCATGTCTATTGAACAAGTTATGGAGAAGTATCATGAAAATACTGCGCAAATTAGCTGCAGCTAGCCGTCAGCAGAGTTATTACGGTAGACAAGGTCTAATGGCCTAATTATAAAACTGAAACCAATCTGTAACAAATACAACTGAGAAATTAATTTTTAAATCTAAACCAATTAAAACTAGGACAGTAAACATGTTTAAAAGTTCTTTAAGGTACAATGTTATTCAGTAAATAAATGTCTTCATAGATCACCAACTGCCGTCGAATGAATTCGGAACTTTACTTCTAAATTTAACAACACCTCCCCGTCTTAGTATTATACTGTAAATTCCATTTTTAATATTAAATACAGTAATTATACAGTCCGTTGGCTTTTCAAGATATATACGTTCAGATAGGTTTGTGTTAGTGAAAATTTAGTTTCAGTTACAAACTTCTATTCAATATGATAATAAAACTAACAACAAATCCTTAATATTAGAGCTAGACAAGCTGAAAACTGATTTGGAAACTCTATCAATTCACCTTTGTTACATTTTTTTCGGCGGCAGATAATTTAAACCGTCAGTATTATAGATCAAAATAATAAAGGTGTTAAACACTAGTTTTTAATAATCCAAAGCTCTATTACCTTAAGGCATTCTATACTTCAAATCAATAGTCAATAATTACATAAACACCTAGTTTCCAACTCTAACTAACCTATCTATTCATCATCTTTTTTTCGACATTGCTGTAAATGTCTCTCTGTAGCAAATTTTTTTCTTCTCCTATAAATATTCTTTATGTTTTTGTTGTTGTAATTTTTCACTATGCTACTTATTGAGGATCGCGAGTGGTCCATAAAATTAAATAAAGATTTTATCAGACATTTTGATAGGAAAAAATGTCATTGAAAGAAATATTTTTTTCACTGTCATTTCTCCCTTCGTACATCATCTTATTTTATGTAAAATTATTGACAGCACATAAATCATTTGAATATGATATTTAAAGTAAAAGGTTTCCAAAAGTCATTTTTATTCCATTTAACTGTTGTAATTTGGTTATATAACCAATTTGGAAAATACAGACAATTTATTTCGATTTTTTAATTATGGTAACGTTTTAATTTTGTTTAAATTATTTACCTACTGAATTTAAGTTAGTAGTTGTAGGCTGAAGCCATATATGATTGTTCTTTCTAAACAACAGATACATTGTATGAATCGGTAAGCATTTTTCTCTTCGAGTTTTAGTAATTGACGTGTCACATTTTCGCCTCTACTAATGTAATGGTTCAAAATATTAGAGTGTAGCCATGTTATTCGTGAAACAGTCATCATCATTGGCACCAGATGATCACAAGTTGCATTGCTATCTGATTAAACTTGGAAATGTGTACCATTTGAAACCAATCCGCTGGTTTTATGGTTAGATAACCTAGGTTTAATACTTTTTGGATTCACAAGTACAATTTTCTGAGTAGTCCAATATGACGATGAATCTTCAGTCTAATGTTCTCTGATATCAAACGGTTATCCTACCTGAGGTTGATTCATGACGAATACCAGATAATTATTAGCTAACAGTCTATATTTGGACTTTAGGATGACAATAAAGAATTTTCCCATGTTTTATTTTTGCATGTGAATCAGCAGTATTACAGTCTTCAATGCATTCGTTGTCAGTGTTCATGAAAATATCATTATTAAAGCATTCTTAAACTTTTTTTCTGATTTCCACAAATCAATCCAATTGTTTTACCAAGAAGAAAAGTTAGCTTTCTCTTTATTTATACTTCATTTAATCTGTTCCACTTTCTTTTTCTGCTCTATATTCCTAAAACAAACAAAACAATAGTCAGATTCAGTCAATTTACCGAAAGACAATTTATCAAGCCCGTTACAAAATGGTCAAATTCATCCACCAATATCGAATAGTAGTAGTAGTAGTATTCCAGTTAACCAACCCACTACACCAACAATAACACCTACATGTTTAACGACTAATTTTGTTACTTCACATCAAAATATTTCACAAAATTTATCAAATCCATTATCTATACAACATGTGAATTCATCATCATTGCCTGTAACACTAACAACACAATCATTAACAACAACTAATGGACAAAATGAAATATATTCTAATCAATCTGTACAAAATCAATTGAAATTAGCTCAAGCTCAAGTGAAACGGTTAGAAATGGAGATTAATCAATTGAAACGTCAAGCTATGCCAGTAATGGGTAGTTCAATGAATGGATTAGTTTATACAACAAATTATACTAATATTGAAGTAAGTTGATGAAAACTTGTGTTTTTCCATTCAACATAATAGATAAATGGATTATATCATCATTATTGTGATATAACGGGTGTTTAAAATATTTTATTTCACTTTCACGTATATTACGATAGTACGTTAATACATTGATAAGACTAGTCACGTTATATCAGAACCAAGATTCACAACCCAGGATAGAGAACTAGATTAACACTAGATAATACCTTTATTCGACATAATTACAAGTAGTTGCACTCAGTGAATCCGCAGTAGAAATCAATGGTAAGAAAGGAAATCACATATTTAGTAGTCACTAGGCAAAGCAAGTGCCGCATTCATACAGTTGAAGAACATATAGAACTCAAAACAACTGTCAACCAACATTAGTCATAATCACTTCGAAGGTGCAAAGCACATACCATACTTACGGACACTGATTGCCAACTGATTAAGTGCGGATTGCATGCCTTGGGCATTATCGCACAGTAAGACAATATCGTCCGCATACTCAAGGTCGAGAAGTCTTTCTCCAGGCAACAGATCCACACCACCATTACTTACATCCATCAGAGCTGTTTCCAGAATGTCATCGATGGAAAAGTTGAAGAGGAATGGTGAGATTGGGCAACCCTGTCTAACCCCACTGCTCGAATGGAACAATGGAGAGAGGTGGTTGTATGCCCTCACTCTGCCTGAGGTGTTTGTATATAGGGCTTTTAGGATGTTAATAAACTTCTCAGGCACACCCTTCTTCAATAGACAATCCCAGAGAACAGTCCTTTCAAGAAACACTACGATTGTTGGCCTTTGATAAATATGACGGGTGAAGATATGATCAATATGCCCTCGACCAGAACGAACCCCCCTCCAAATGCCCTGGTATGGCCGAGAGTGGGGTGGGCCCGCCCCCCTCTCGAAATGCTCTCACACGGCCACGCGTATACAGCCTCTGCCAGGGAAGTCCTACTCACTGCCTTCTCGTGGCGGGGGTGTTGTTTACGAAAATGAGAGGACGAAAAGCGAATGTCCGGCGCTTTAACCGGATCCCAAACCAATGGTGCACATCGGCTCCAGTATCCTGCGGGAACAAATGGCATATGAACCAATCGTTGGTCACCGGCTACCATGGGATTGCATCTCCTTACGATCCTCCACTGCCTTGTGGATCAGACCTTCAGGTCGAAGGCTCGGGGAGTGGCCCCCTAAGAAAACCACCTGCCTCGGTCTGGGCACCCGGGCAGTATCACAGCCCTCACACAAATAAAATGAAAATGACGAATCATAGTTCTCTGTTCACACAGACACATCAGTCCAGGTTGGCATGGTGGGCGTTTAAGCAGTGACTTGATTGGTTATTTATTGACATACCAATCCTTATTTTTTTTACAAAACGTCGAAAACTAGTAACTAAGGTAAACAAGCTATGCAAATAAATAACTCAAGTTGATTGCTAATAATAGTTATGAATAAATTTTCTCGATAATTAATGGTTTTTAACTTACTACAAATAGTTATAATTACGCACTTAAGTGTGATCCGGGAATGGTATCATTTAAAACCTATCCTTCCATTATTTTCTTGTAGTAGACATTCGTCGTTTAACCACTTATCCCTGGGATTTGTCTCTTCTTATATATTGGCTTTTTCTACTTATTATATTGATTTTGAAATCTATGATTAAAATACGTCACGCTCGTGAAGCTATATTCAACGAAAATTCATGAGTTGATGTTTTTTGGTGGGTTGTTTCTGCAGTTTCTAGGACTTACAATTCTTCTATGAAATTTGAATTACTTATATTGAACTGGGTACCAAACTATGTGAATGAAAATAAACCCTAAGTAAGAATGAACTTTGTATGAGATGTTCACTTCATTACCCAAATACTGATTTTAGTTCAGAACTTAATTGTGCAGTGAAATAATTCTACATACAGATATCATTATTAAAATAAATAATATAGAATGTCTCTAATGTTCTTACATTAGACAATGTGTCTGCAAACGAAAAAATTTGCAAGCTCCCACCAGACACATAAAGCCTTAGTATAACAGCATCAAGTCATATTTTATTCTCTGAGTTGTGACTCACATTGTTCTGAATATGGCAACTTAATTGTACTAGAAATTTAGATATTAACTTTCCTATTGTTTAGATTTATGTTTATTGTCACTACCCTGTTTTACGTTTAAACAGCCGGGAATATCAATGGATACCGTTGATAGTCCTGATCTACGATGTGGTATTGCACGTTTGGAATTAGATGGTACTAATGGCGGTGGAAGTGCCGGTGTCAATAGTAATGGAGAATGGATTAACGAATTGAGTATTAGTAATAAACCTAGACCAGTTGGTACTATTCATCCTTCATTGGTACAAGGTAATCAAAACAGACTATTATGGATGGATCGTGCATCACAAGATACTATACGATCATTGCATATACGTTTAGGAAATGTATTGAAAGAAGCCTTAGAAATTCATAATCGTTTAAGTTCTCTTCTATCAATTCCATCTGTAGAGTAGGAAATTTTGTGTTCAATACGTTAAACTCACTGACTGACTACTTTTTCTCAGTCTTCCTGTATACATGACTTTTAAAATTTATTTCTTTATAATTTAGCTTAGATTTCTTAATGTGTTATCAATTTGTTGTTTTTTCTTCTTCTAACATTAATGTTTCTTCTCTAAGATGATGAAATCCCCCCCCTAACAATAATACAAACATCTTCATTTTATTCTTTTTAATAATAACGGATACTGCTAGATGCCTGTCAGTATTTTAATCATCATCTATGCTGTTGTACAGTTCATGTAATTTACTTTAATTTGCTATACTGGTGAAATGTAAATTCTTTTTCAATTTTCTACATAAGACAAAATTAACTCGTAAAATAAACAAGTATTATCACTACTATTCATTCGTAAATAATAATGACAAGGTCATATCTATTTATTCTAATGCATGATGTTTGTTTTATTTCTCTTAATTGATGTTTCTTATTCCCTGCGAATTTCCTCTCCTTTCTTTTCTATCTTTTATAATATAATTCCAAGATTAATTTTATAAATACTCCTTAATATGGTGGTATTACTTTAGATACAATGATTCGTCTTTAATGTCAATGAATTACTTAAATAGATTAAATTTGATTCATTTCTCGTAGTGAAATATCTGCAAGATATTTCTTATGTACTTCGTGTATCAATCGATCTGACAACTGTTATTACAGTTATTACGAGCGGTTCATAATTTTCCAGAGGACGGTAATATAAAGTGCTAACTAGTTTATTTTCGTATAGCATATTTCAAACAATCACCAAGCACATGATGGGAGACAATGAGGAAGCAAATAATTTAATGGAAATTATGAAGTAGATAAAAACAGACATGTGGTTTAAGCAACTATCATTTAGGCGAGTAAGGGTAGCTGTATTCGTGGGCATCGGAATATAAGGGTACAGGTATAAGCAGATTCTTACTGACATAAATGATGGTGTGTTGAATTAATTATTCGGAGAGCTTAGTTTATTACTGTCCTCCAAGCATTGCACTTGATAGAAAGATGGATAATATAAAATAAACTGTATCAACTTCCTTTCGAAATGCTTCAGTGGAAATATACTATGTATCACTATACCATACAACTTGGTGTAAACAAAGAATTACTATGTACCGTAATTCAATTGTACTAAGGTAACATAAAAGCTATGCAGAATTCAGATTCTTCCGGTCATTTTGCTTACAACAGCTAATCGCATACTGAGGTAAAACAAAATGTTCCACGAAGTTCTATGGCACGATAGTTGCGATACATCTCTTCCTATCATTGGTTCAAAGCCTCGAAACCTGTTCTCATCATCTCGCATCTTCGGAAGTATCAAGGCAGTATTAGCGAACCTTCTCAACAAGAAGTATGGTTCAAAATCAAGTGCTCTTTATGTGACTACCCTACTTGTTAAGTCGTTTCACTTTATTGTCTTCAAAAGGTCATAATAGGTATTAGACATTAAAAACAAGTATAAGTGTAGAGTGAGAATAAGCCGTCTAATGTCTAAATGAACGCATCTCACTACGTCGAGTACGTTCACCAGACATTAGTTTTTGATACATTGGATCTTCAAACCACGATTTTTTTCTTATATGATTCAGATTAACAGTACTTTTCAACGATATGAAATGGAATGGTTAGAAGACGCATTATTGTTCTACCACGAAATATCTAGGGTGAATTAGATTAAAAAATACCGCACTAATCGGCATATTACAATCATTCTTCTGCAAACTTACTAACAGAAATTTCTGATAAAAGCTAAGAAATCAAAAGTCTTTCGTAGTATAGAAAATCGGAATGTTATTAATACTTAGAAAACAATTATATAAAAATGATAATAACAAACACCGAAATAACAAAAACTTAGTGATTTTTGACGAGGAAAGTTAGAAAATGCCGAAGGTGTTTTTAAACATAAATGCTGCCACCAATTATTATAAAATATGTAGTTTTACTTTGACAAGATTACATTTATTCTTCACAGACGAACACCTCTCGTCTCATTCGTTTCATTTGTTGATATGAATCTGATTCAGGATAAGCGCTACGCTTACGATAAGGTCGGGTGTTTTGTTTTATCATTACAAAGTGTAATGAATCATAGTGCCCGGAAGATGAGTCTTCCTCATTTTCGGAAGCAACTTCGTCGTACACTGTTTTACAGTCATCGAAGGCAATAGCTTTACGATCGATAGTACTGAAGGCTAACGGTTCTATTGGCAAGAAATACAAAGGTAATTGTACCTTGTCAATTGGTTGAAGTTCTTTGCGCTCAGTTAACTCACAATCCATATTTGTATCAATAGAAAGTAAACTATTTTTATAAACAGATTCGTAGACAGTATATTCGTTAGATATTTCAACCATTTCACTTTCTGAAACCTTATTATCCATAATCGCATGATTTGAATAAATAACCTTTTGATATACTGGAACTACATTTGTGTGACAATTTGGACAATAAGCTATAGGTAATTTATTAGAACATTGTTTTAAAGTCGGAGCGATTGGATCATCCCGTTTAAATGTTTTTATATAATTTCCCGATTCACTTGATAGAGACTCAAGAGACGAACAGAGATTAGTGTCAAAGTTATTAGATATTCTTGAGTTTCGACGTCGCTGAACCCACCTTGACTTTTGAGTATCTATATTTTCTCGAAAGGGACGCTTAAAAGTTAAACTTGACCGCTTCGTTGCGCATAATAGCGACCATAGTAATGGTTTTTTCTTTATTTTCAGCTTATTCTCTACTAAAGCGCGTTGTGAACCAGAACTTTTAGAAAACCATCTCATTATAGACTAGAAAGATAAGGTCGGAAACAAAAAATTAATAAATATTTGCTAATTTTGAATTTTTGTGTTAACGAAGAAACCCCAAATGTGACCGAACAACACAAACGAGAAAGTGTATAGATTTTACACAACTTACCCTTTAAATATAACTGGTGTAGTGGAACGTGCCTTTAGAATTAAAATTTATCTAACTTAACTAATATCTAATTAGAGAGTAAATCTTCGACGGCGTGGACAACAAAAATTTATTTACCCTCTCTCTCTCTCTACGCTTACTGCTATACATATTCAATCAAAATGACCATGAATTTCGAAGTAGTAAATAAAAATACTTCATTTTATAAATAACCAATAAGAAGATAGAATAATCTGATCAGAGTTTCACAGTATTTGGACGCCGAGTTAATGTGAGACATTACAGAAGAAGAATGTATTTGTAAAGTCTCAGCGAAAGAATTTGAAGTAAATCCAACGTTTCACCTGGCAATATGGTCTAAGCTTTTCTAAGGAATTCACGAGTACCGTCTACTCTTAATGGCCACGTTTCACAGACATAAAGTAGAACAGAACGAACTACTGCTTAGTATACTCGTCACTTAATTGGTAGACAGATATCTCGACTTCGACATAGGTGACATAATTTGACAAAAGCCAAAAGAGGATTTTAAATCCGTGCAGAGATTTTGTCAGACACCGACTCATTAGGGCTGATCAGATTTCCAAGATAAGTGAGGTTGTCAACGCGTTCGACTACTTCACTCCCTATTCTTAGTTCAGGTGTTGACACAGGCCAGTCGTAAAGCAACACCTTGCATTTAGAGGGTGAGAAGCGCATCCCAAACATCCTGGTATTGTTTCTCAGTGCTATCAAGAGGCTGCATTTTATCAGCGTCTTTAAAAATGTATTCAAATTGCTATCAAAAAAGCAAAAGATAATTAACAATCCGAAACCAAACGTTGAAAGAGTGAGCAAATATATGTACCCTAACCCTAGTCAGTTGTAGTGTGAAAACCTACATTACGAGCTTGAAGGCACAAATGACTAAACTAACTACAAATTATTTATAATGGACAACAAAAGCAAGAGACAAAGATATCTTTGTATCTTTAGCATCAGGTGCTTAATAATAAGGATAGAGATGACAGGTTAGGACATGTGTTACGTATGCCCAACAACTGCCTACCTCGAGGAGCGATGTTGTACAGTGCAGGGGTTGGCTGGAAGACAGCTAGTGGCCGCCAAACGAAAACACGGCATCAGTCCACGAAGTCACTGGTATTTGGACTTGGGCATGTTAACAAGTGTAGACTATGTAGTTGGGGTCCGCGTGATTATTGTAACAATGGTTAGGGACGACATGGTTCAAAATCGTTCCCAGTGGTCCAGGTAGATTTGTTCTTGTTTTCCCCAAGTTATGAGATTCTAAATTCCTCATAATTTTCTGTTTTCATTTCACTGATTTATATTTTCTTTTCGAATAATATTTCAGATGCCTAATCTTTTTTGTTACGACTGGTACTGTTACTACCTCTACTATCCTGAAATTTAGTCTGAAAGCTTCATCTCTCCGTGCTGAGGTCAGTCAGTCAGTCAGCTACAACGTAGGACCAGGCACATATGTGCATCGGTCCAGGTTGCCATACCGCATCAGCACAACAAGATGAACACCGGATTCATAGCAGTGGTTATGTCAAAGGTGGTAATATATATACAGCATTCCGTGCTGAGGTATGGAAACTTCAACCGACGTATATACGTACAGGTTCCACGTTGTAACTGACTGACTGACATATGATTCGGACGCGTACTATAGATAACGAACTCGCAGAAGAAACCCACTGGAAACAATTATTGAGAACAAAAATTCCTAATGCCAATGCAACTAGTCAGTCATAATATACTGCAAAATGGGAATGAGGATAGCTAGTTATAATTAGAAACCACTTATAATCAAACAGTAATTACTTACGAATATCCTGTTTTCACAGACCATATACTGTAGTCGCAAATCAAGACAGAAACGACTGCTATGCAGTATACCCGTACTGTTTAGAGGATGTACTTAGGCATCGACTGATTACAGAGGTCATTTTTCTAGACACTAGAACAAATGAACTAGTTGGTTATCACAAGGGGTTTTATTCCTTACTCAAACTCAGACGACTAGTGACCGAGATAATATTGGGTCCAGTTTTTGGCTATTTTACTTAACCTAACTGTTTAATTTGGGTTAGGATTCTTGAAAACGAATGGCGTAAATCCATCAGGTCGAAGTGCTCTAGCTCGCTTCAAACTGGCTTCGTTCTTTTCTAATTCACTAAGAGTCAGGAAACTCATGTTAACCTTAGGTTTTTAGAGAAAAGTGGGTAATTAGAGGGTAGATGAAGACCATATGGATAAATCCTTGAAATTAGGTCACGGCTTAAACCATCTGGTTTCATCTTTTTAAGAGATAGTCACACTAACAGTTAACAGTAATGTATGCTTCCCAGTGAAATCTGAACACTAACCTGGTGTTACGTATCACAGTTGTCTTATATTTATTTTGCTCCAAAAACCTATCACTATAACTATGTAAATGTTTTATTAAACTTTTATCGCTCCTCAGTGCGTTTGGAGCCCGAAGTACGTCTCTGACTACCTATCAATCCAGAGAATGTTAATAAACTCCGCTACCCTTTTCTTGACGTTCCGGTTGAAGTTGTTAACATGCATCACTGCTGTTTCCATAAATATTGTGACATGTTACATTCGAGTTAATCATAACGTCTCGAATGTATGGAAGAAGTTACCAAATGAAAGCATCTAAAATTTCGAAGAGAAACACAACGAAGACTGTTTTTTGGTTTTTTAAGGCTGTCTTAAATAGCGTTTGGGAATGCAAAACTCCGACTCGAACTATGAAATTAGTCATTTCGCACAATCCTAAATACTTTCCAGATAAACATGTTACTGAGGTGAGATCTAAATTGATTATCAAACGCTGATAGGACAGAATTATATTACATACTAACTAGAGTTGGGTAATCTTATTTATGGAATACATTCACCATGTCCTGAATTAAAAACGTAAATTACAGTTTTATGTGAAGTTATACTCTTGATGACGTTCCGTTGAAATCATAGGCTAGAATACAATCGTGACCTGGCGTTCGCCGAATTTAAGTTCGTCTCAGCTGATGTCATTGACAAAAACATAAATACATTAACCACAAAAAAACTAGGTAAATTACCGACTACTAACGCGGTAGTGAGTATCAACCACAAATTTTACTTATAATCACCTTTGTCTCTACATTATGACCAATTGTAAAGAAGGTCAACTGATTAAGACCTAAGAAATAAACCAATGAGAGTGAAGCTTAAACTAAGCTAGTAATAAGGTCGAATTTAATGCTCTCCCCCTATCTTGGAACTTGCTCTCAGGTTATTGGCTAAAATTCACCAGTACACAACATAACAAATTTTCTAACTTGTTTCTAAAACGCTCTGGTCTTGGTTACGCATGAGTCATACTACTGCTTTTTGTGTACCTTGATGATCCCATTAATGTCGATTTCAATTTTGTCTGTATAGTGTGCTGTATTGGTTGCATTCTGTTTGAGCAGGTTTGGTGACATTGTCATACCTAAAAGAAGTGGATTAACTTCAAGAAATAACAATTATTTTGGTAGAACAACATGAATTCACCCATTTCGTGGATTTATATCCGCTGTAAAAGATGTACACCTGTTTCGTTTTAGTCACTAATACTGTAGTTTTAAGTTGTAGGCAGCTGAAGAGAATCCACAAAATGAATGAATTCATTTGAATTTCCCCAAGGCTTGCCTTTATTTCCTCTTTTTTGTTTGTTTGGGATATTATTCTGCCGTGTTACTTCTTTTTTATTCAAGTAAAGAATGAATTAAATTGCAAATAATTTCGATTCCGCATTACCGCATGTATCTGATGCTTCTAAAATTACAGTTTTTCTATGCACTCATTAGTTAACCTGTTCCAACAGAAGACCGCCACATGGTAGTAGAACGACTAGGTCTTCAGTGTTGAGTCTTGTCAGTGAGGAATATAGATAACAGGACTTATTGTTTGAGATATTCGCTCTCGTAATTATCCAACTGTTAACTAAATCTTCAGAATAGCAAACACAGGAAAGGCAGTTCAGATATTCGTCCTGCAACACAATTTGAAGCATAGCGATCCTCACAACTACAAACTGTAGTTATATGTCGTAACCTGGTGTCTGTAGTTGGTTTCGTTGACCAAAAGTTTTTTTCATAAGACTTGATGGAACATGAAATAAGTTAAGGAATAATGTCCACTTACTAATACCGAATAAAGCCTTGTTATACACCAATATACACACTGTAAACATAACTATGACTTTAAAAATACTTCAATTGGAATTCTGTTGAGCAAAATTGTCAACTGTTTTACTCCATTTCTTACTGATGCATCGAGACTGGATAGTGGCTGCTAAGTTGTCTAAAATGAAATCACTTCAGGACTAATCATAGGTTTCGGTTATGAAGTTCATATGATTTACCGTAATACGATTAATTCCATGTTTAGAAAACAAACAAAAACATTGTCTTACTATCTCACAGATTCATTAAAACTAGAAACTACCTTATGTATACTAAGCATTTTTCTTGGCAATCGACAAAGACTTATATTTCTTACAAAGCTTCCACGTTTACTCAGATACATGTGAACTTTCATTTATTCTACAGTTTCTTTCTGTTGATAACAATTTCTAGAAAGATGAATTCAACTATTAAAATTACTACAATCCCCATTCTGATAGACTACACAAATCAAAGAAAAGAACACTGTTACCATACATTGTTGATGATTGCCATTTGTGTTCTGAATATCCTAACTGTTATATAGCTGACCATGGGGTTGGTCAGCATAGTTTAGGATAAATGAGACCCAACAGAAATGTAATATGATAATAAAAAAGTGCTTCATTGCAGTATCGTTCATTTTAATGCAGACATGAAGTATGTATTTCAACCACTTTTATGTATTACTAAATCAACACCATATAATTGTATAATTTCAAAGCAATTAAGTTTGATTTCTAACTTTTAAGTTATTAAAATAAATTTCTATCTCAAATCGATATTAATCATGAAACCATTGAGAATAAAGGATAATTGAACAGCTATTTTATTTTACTTTGGGACTTTTCATTAGACCGCTGAGCTGGCATCCAACAGTGTTAATATCCTGGGTTCGAATCTCGCGCGGGTCGGGATCGCGGACGCGCGCTGCTGAGGAGTCCCATATTAGGACGAAACGGCCGTCCAGTACTTCCAGGTTTTCCATGGTGGTCTAGCTTTAACTGACTCATTATTTCAACTATTGAAATTACTAACATCTTCACAAAACACCTGATAATTCTCACAATATTAGCTAATTAAAGTTGTCTTTTTTTCACAAATTGTTCACATTAATTATTATTTACCAACGTCCCGCT